GTTTGGTCGTACCTCCCTTCCCCACTGCTCGGCTGAGCTCGAAGCGTACTGTGGCCGATCGCATCTGGGTTCCTCTCGTCTTGCCTCTTTGACGCGAATAGTCTCATCCGACGTATCAATTCTACCCTGACGATGTCCGTTCTGAATCCCGTATGTAATACCACATGCAGGCCAGTCCTGCCTGACCCGCATACATACCCCTCAAGGCTGAGATTTATTGCGACCCTGACGATGACCGACAACAACCCGTTTTATACCGCCACCTACAGTCCAGCCCCGCTCGCTTTTTTCTGTCATTATTTTTATTGAGGGTTTTTCTCTCGTGTAAAATTAATCCCATCATTTTGACCTTTTGTATGGAGTTTTTCACCCCTCACTAATCGTGTTTCTCAATGAACTATTAATTCAGAAACTATGAATTGCATTTTGTAAAGATTCTGCCTACCTCGTCTAAAACTCGCATGTAAATTTATTGTAACTTGCTTTGATGGGACCCCGACGGGTCTTTAATAAAAATTATCTATCTATCTATTTGGAATGCTCTTCCAAGTTCTATCCGGAAAAGTCGAACCCTAATCGAGTTTAAAATAAAAACAAAGAAATTCCTTTAAAATAACAATACACGTTTATTTTTAAATAAGATAGGACATTTTTCAGGTCAATTCTTTGATATAGAATTTGGTCCGAATGTGCTCCGATGATGCCAGCCGCTTGAATAATACCGGAACATATCACTAAAAACAATTAAATTTACGATAGACAGTATCATTGAAAAACATAGAACAGATAGTGATATGCTCGCTTTTCTCTCTTTCTCGTTTCCATCAGTTATTTCACCTGACACTAAATTTCCTTGTAGGAGTTAATAATAACATCCCTTTCGATAAAACCCTGCATATTAGTTGTGCGTAAGCCTATATTAAGGCCATATTAAACATATATACAACTCTATTAGTTTGTAGTAAACAGTCGACCATTCATCCTATAATGTCACATTCACAAGAAAAATATGATACATGATTCAATATTATTCTGACGGCCTTGATTGTGACTAACCATTAAATGTTTCTTACTCCTGATATATATTCATCTTTTCCAGCTCTTAGTCCAGACAGTTATGGCAATCCTCCTGGAAAGTGCGAAGGAAATGTGCAACCACCCCTTTACAGCAGGCCAGATAGTGTAGAAAGTTCTAGAAGGCCAGACCACGTGCGGCCACCATCTTTGAGAAGGTTCTAGAAAGCGCACCCCTAGCGGGGGGCGAGCGCCGAAATTTTCCACACTTATACACCAGGCACTTAGTCGCAATTTGGCCTCTCACAAAAAGTATGCATGTAATAAATTATTATAAACCTAAAACTAAGCAAAATAGCCCTGTTCTAAGTTCGTTTAACTTTCCACCCTCGACCTACCTTCAACCAATCAACAAAGGCGGGCTCAGCCTTGGCGACTTCCGGCCAGGATAAGCTATAAATACGGGCGAGGATTAGCCTCCGACAACCCCCCGGCAGGTCGCCAACCTTCGGACGTGGGAGTTCTGTCGCTGTCTTCGTCGGATCCACGTGCCTCCGCCAATCCCGCTGGACAATCTCACCTTGCCCCAGTTTATTTTTTTAATTAGGTTTCCCCTCTGAAGTCTCTTATTGTACATAGGCGTTTAAGTACATAGAAGTTACCGAAGCCTTACTTTTCTGGGCTGTCTCTCGTACTGACATTTGGGCTCGTTACAATAGACTGATTACCACCAACTAGAACACACCTAAATTTGCCCAAATAGAAAATACTTTCAAGGTCAGGCCGATATTAAAGTTCTTCAAATTCCATGAAGGACATATTATTCATGCCCCTCCACCCCCCCCCCCCCCCCAGAAACTATAAAACTACACTCTTCAATTTTTATATTGTACACATTGTTCTTTTTTAAAACTGTTGTGATTATTCTTCCTTAGAACTCAGGTTTTTTAAACTTAAAACAAATTCTCAATTCGCGGTCTATTGGCTAAACAGACACCCGAAACAATTGAAGTCAAAGTGCAGTCGAAATGGATGAGTTTGTTTCAGGTTTTTTCCTGTGCTCAAGGGAGACTGACAGTGCCCAAGGGACGCTATAATAAACCTATTCTAGTAGTAGTAGTAATAGTAGTAGTGGTAGTAGTAGTAGTAGTAGTAGTAGTAGTAGTAGTAGTAGTAGTAGTAGTAGTAGTAGTAGTAGTAGTAGTAGTATTAATACCAATGGTTTTAACAGTACTGGTTGTACTAGAAGCGCAAGCATTGGCATCACCCATGGCAGAAAATTCCGTACCACTCGACGTTCTCCCAGCACCATAGCAGCAGAACATCGGGCACTAGAATCCCCCGAACGAACAGCTCAGATGTTTCAGAAACTAATGAGTAATCATCGACAGTCAGGACCACGAACTATTATTTATGAATTAGGGCAAGTTATAACCAATGATAAACAAGTAGTAAACTGATACAACAAATACTTCTCAGCTAACTACACAGTCGAAGAGGGAACTATCCCCCAACCGACCGAGATGACTGAACGCATCCTTAGTGAGATCCATTTTAGTGAAGAAACTATTAAAGTGGCCATCAAACAACTAGCAAAAACCAAATCCTATGGGACAGACAAAATCCCACCATGTATTCTGAAGCATCCCTGCTAGCACCAGCCCCGTCTGGCCCCGCCTAGCCCCCGGGGTCAGACGGGACTGGCCCCCGTTTGGGCGGGGCTATGACCGGAACATAGCACTAAAAATAATCAAATTTATAAAAGATAGCATGATTGATAAACATAGAACAGATAATGATATTCCTTTTTTCCTCCCTTTCTCGTTTTCAGCAGCTATGTCACCCGACACTAAATATCCCTTATAAAGCTAATAAAAATATACCCTTCGATAAAACCCTGCATATTAGTCGTGAGTATGTCTATATTAAGGCCATATTAAACATATATAGAACTATATTAGGTCATAGTAAACAGTCGACCACTACTCCTATAATTTCACATTAACAAGAACAATATGATACACGATTCAATAGTATTTTGACAGTTTTGATTGTGACTTACCATTGAATGCTTCTTACTCCTGATATATATTCATCTTTTCTAGCTCTTAGTCCGGACAACGATGGTAAGCCTCCTGAAAAACACGTAGGAACTGTGCGACCGCCCCCGTACAGCTGGCCAGATAGACTGACAACCAGCAACTAGTGTAACAGACGGAGATCTGACCAGAGACCCGACCTTGAGGTTTGAACGGACTACACTACTTTCGTTTTCTTTTTGCAGAGTCTACGCTCCGAAAGCCACGTGCCGGCGATTAACTGTCAACACACTGATAAGTCGTTCCGTTATATTATTCCGTTTCTACGTTATCACATTATTATATTCCCATTTTGCATATTACAATAAACTTATATCGTTTTGTAATTTCCGTTATCTATATCATGTCTCGTACGCCTGTGCCCCCCTCTACCACACAATCTGAAGTACAAGGTATTTTAGACCGACTTTTCCAAGCCTCCGGATCGTCCGAATTTAAGCTTCCCTCTTCTCCCTCCTTCTACGCACGTGACCCGACGTCTACTACCCGCTCGGTCGCTACAATGGTGGCAGCGGGTACCCCACCCGCCCCTCCCTCCGATTTCCCAGTTAACCGCACACCACTCCCCAACCCCACAGTCGAGTACGCGTATAACCTAGGCCCTAGCCCACTCCTAGCCCCTGAGCCCTACGTCCCAGAGAACAACATTCACGATTGGCTCCGGGACCTGGATCTTTTCTTAGTCACGGTCCCCACTAACCAACGCACGTGCTACCTTATACGTTTCCTGTCTCCCCCCGCTCGTAAGCGCGCCTTCGACGCGGGAATCGACCACACAACCCCATTCAGCGTAGCGCGTAGCACTGTATTGCAGCTATTTCACACGCCGTCCCCTACAGGAATCGCAGCCGAGCGTTTCGCCACCCTCAGACAGACTCGTGACCAGTCGGTTGATGATTTCGCCGACCAGTTGTCCCAACTCGCCCTAGCGGCGTTCCCCAACCTCCCCCCACCCGACCGCAACACCCTCATACTACATCGTTTTATAACGGGGCTTAGCGATCCTAACGCTACCGACATACTTCTCCTTCATCCCCCCACCAGCTTGACGGCCGCCATACAACAATGCCGGTTATATACGGCCTACCATCAAGACCGCAGACCCCATCCAGTACCCCATACCGTTGGTCCT